AGCTATTAATGTGCCATGTGATATGAAGTCTCCTCCACTACTTAAGATTTTAGGCCTTCTTCCAAGAACAAGCATTCCTTTTCTGCTCCTTTGGGAAGAACAAACCATTTCAGGAGACTGATGAAGAGGAAAATTTAGTTCTGATCTTTCAATACAGACAGGCCACACACACAGCTGGAGCACTGGAACAAGCAAAGCACTTTTAGCAGGGAAGCACCCTTATAAGCAAAGTTGACTTTCTACTGGTATAGTAAAACCAGTCACTGAACATGAAGCAAACTATGCTAGTAGATACAGTTTTTCTGTGCTGAGAGAAGTTCTATATTCTTTTGGGGTTTCTACTGGGACACTTATTTTTTTCAGGGATCAGACTTTAGGTAGACAGATGTTCCAGCAAAAGGGTTGTGAGTCGATCTGGCTACCACAGGACCACAAAAATAACAACAGCCTTTCTGCTTGTCCAAGGATTTTGGTCAAGGAGAGAGAGAGAGAGAGTGCTTAAGAGATGATTATTTCCAAAGTGCCTGAAGTGGTAGAGTCAGTCAAATACCCCAATTCTATATTTTTATAGGACAGCTTTTATTTAACAGGCCAGAAGCAGAAGCCATACACCAGTGGTTCCCAACCTTTGTTTTTTTTTTCCGTGCCTTGCTGCTGGGAGCGAAGTGCTGCGGTGGTGGCACCGGAAGGAGGCAGGGGAGCTCCCAGCACGTGGCGCAGCTCGTCTTTTCTGTGCAGCGCCACTGGCACTGCCCCCATGCCCCTCATTTGGGTCACGACTTGGGGTTGGGAACCACTGCCATACATGGTCCTTTGACTTTTTCAACATTACAGGAGTGAACAAGTTAAGTCTAATCTCTCCATGTTCTCATGAAGAATGCTTTCTTATGGTTAAAATCACCTCTAAACAGATGCAGGAAAATAAAGCAGAATCAGAAAAATTGGGCTGGAAGGGAGGTCATCTAGTCCAAGCTACTGCTAGAGGCAGGCTCATCCCTGACTAAACCATCCTATTCTGGTATTTGTCTAACACGCTTAACTTTGTTCTCAACTTCATTACCCAAAGAACTCTTTGAAGCACTTCACTCCTAGCACTTCTCCTCCACTGCAGATTTTTAACCTTGAATTTTAGGATTTTTAAATTAAAGACATAGTATGTGGAAATGTATTACTATGGCCTCGATTTCAGAGAACAGAAAGGTGCTTCATCTGTATATTTAAATACCAACATTAAAGGTAACTGCTAGTCATTCTATCAGAAGTTACAAGTAGGATAAATGCTTAAAATTCTCCCCATACCGAACAGACTACAATGCTTCAAAATGTATTTGGGATCTTCTAAAGAAGTTGATGGTTCCCAGTGGACAGTTGTCACCATCTAAAAAACTGTAACCACCATTCACATGCTGACTTGCAATCCAAGCAAATAAGTTAATGAGCAAATGAAAAGGAAGGTCAGACTATTCTCTTACTCAGGACAGCATTGACACTTCTTGGTAGTACGATGTTGAAAAACCAACTCTGCTGCTTTCTAGTTTCTTTCCTATGAAAGAACACACTGAGGGAACAAGAACTTTTACTTCAATGCAATTTACTTGGACTACATTCGCTCATTTTTCAAAAAGTGTTTAGTACCATTCATTTTATCCTACAGTGAAGCTGATATGAAAATCAGCTAAACTGCAAATTGGAGCAAGGTATGCAAGGCAAAGGGAGCACTTTAGCAGCGTATTTATGCTGGCTCTTCTACGTTGACCACCAAAGGATCTGAAGCACCTCAGAAATAATAATGAACGTACCCCTGTGGTATTCCCCTGAGGGAGGGAATTATTTTTATTCCCATTTTACAGAGGAATAAAAGCAGAGAAAGTTGGAACCTGAATGTTGCACATCCACCTCTCAGGAGGTCCACTGCACCTTTTTGAAGGGCCTGCCCAGTTACAGAACTGAAGGGAGGAGCTGGAAATAGAATCCAGATCCTAATTCCAGTCCTGTGGATTAATCACCATGATTCCTGGCCTTAACAACAGAAGCTGTGAATTATTTGCTCAGGAGGTTGTTGTTGGGTTTTTTTTAAATAACCATACGTAGTGCAAGGGACCGCCTATTTTTTCCCCTCAAATATTTCATGTGGTAAGTGACTGGTGCTCTTATCTGGTCGGAGGTATCCATCCCACGCTTCAGAAGCCTTGTTAATTGAAAATAAATGCCCCCCCCAAAAGAAAGTCCCAATGCAGGGTAACAGAACGTGCACGTACCCCACTGAGATTAAAACCCAGGAAATGCTGCCTGTCTACCGCTGCCCCCTTGCTACGAGTCAGCTGCCTCTTCCCAAAAACCACAGGGATAAAGCGGTGTTTTTAGGAGAAGGGTAACAAATGCATGGCGCTATTCTAGCTGGGCAAAAGCAAAACTGGGAGATGAGGCTCCGCTCATCACCAAGCAGGCCCTGCTGATGTTTTAAGCCCAACATGTATTCATGTGCCTTCAACAGGTAAAGTTTGGGAGATGTGAAAGCAGGTGGATACTTGTGTAAGCAGGTCCCGGCCTTTGCCTTCAACCTGAGAAAGAGAGAGCTGTATGCATAAGTGGGCTTGCTGGTCTGAAGGTCGCTTGAAACGGGGAGCGACACCCCAAGTCAGGAAGGTGCCACCGCAAACAGGGGCCAAGGCAGCAGGCCAGGAGCACTGTGGGAACCGGGCGGTCCTTATTGCGCAGCAGGACCAGGGCGCGGGGGCGTGGCTGTGGTTGTGCACCGTGCAGGGCCATGAGGCCGCC